ATCACATTGTATGAGTGGAGGTTCTCGTTTATCGATTCTTTTGACCAACTTATGCATTGATAATATGCTGATATACACAAAACTTAGTCCGAGGGAGGTGGTGATGAAAGGACACCGAGTTTGTTCGAAATGAACGGTGAATAGCGAGTACCAAGTCTGTATCGGCCGTTCAGAAGAATGGCGAATGGAGGCCATTACTCATCGGGCACAGCAGTTAGTGGCCTGTATATCAAGCGTTTTTGCTCGTATTTCTGTCATTGGTTAATTAAAATATCTGTAGAAACGTTACTTTAGCGGGAATATCGTGTTGTCGATCACGCGAACGATTGTTCGCATCCCGCTTTGGGAATATCACATTCGTTTCGATTCGAAAGTCGGCAAGAAAATTCCCAACACAGAGGTGTTGAACAAATTCAAACGTCTAAACAATGGCCTGTGGATCAGGACGCACCCGGGCCGCCATAAATGGGTAAGTACGTTTAGCATGTTTAAAAGTGCATCTTTTGCTAGTGACGATTATAACGTTGCAACCATGCCATAGATACTCTGTGTTACACCTTAATATGCTGTAGCTGAAAGGAAAAGCGAATCTGACAGTCGATGATATGTAGGTCTTCCTGACACTTTCACAACTTTTGCCATTTGAAGCGCCAGTCTTTCACGGTGCTCATTACTCAAGAGTGTTATAACAGAACGGGAAGATTTGGCTCAGCCAGACTCGCTTCCCTGTGGATGTGAGATTGAATCTGTATAGTCCGCAGGTGTCTGTCTGTATCCACTGTATGATTTATGCACTTATATTACAGGCGATCGATATCCTTTTAACAGCAGATTATGTAGCCCCCGTAAAACTTCTGAGTTTCGAACATTTATGCTTTATTCTGATTCCATCGTGGCGATTGAGCGGTTACTGGGTCGGCGCGCATGTTCTCCGCTTCCTTCGTGCCTAATTTTAATTATCTAATTAATTGGTAACGACGACAGACAGATACTACGAGATTGAACCTTATTCAGGCTTTATCAGGATGGAAAAACATAAGCATGCCAATAATGGAAAGCATTTTATTCAACGCTAAGTAAAGTAACTAAAATGTCAATTTCACCACTTTTTCTTTCGCTTGCCTTGCATAAAAAGTTCCATAGTCGGTACGCATTGGTTGTAACCGTAGCTTCATTTCGCAGATCAGAAAAATGTACGTCACTCCTTATGATTTCGATGATTAGTTTCAGTTCTTAGCCAGTTGATTTGCCCTTACTACAGATGATTGATACTTCTTTGATCTGCTAGCTGAGCTGTTTCTGACAAGTTCATCTTCTCATATGCCTCAGAATACAAAAACGAACCATTTATCAGTTTTTAAAACGATCCAGTATTTTTTATAGATTTTGGTGAGAACAATTTCGGGAGGTAGTTTCCAGTATTACATTTCTCCCGTCGGCTCGACCTACCGGTTTCGATGGCGAGGCAATTAGAGTCGGCCATTTTTCACTCCACCCATCTACACATTGCTGTAGTTCCTGATTGTCGTCGGTATAGTCTTGTCTAGTGAATCAACAATGCCTGCTTTTCCTCTGACATTTTGTCCATATGCCGTGCATAAAGTGAACTCCCGAATTTCTTCGACCAGAGAATCATGGTTCTGTATTTTGGATTGCCTCATTTCGATCAATGCACGACATTCATGACTGTGTGATATGTACCAATAAATAAGTAAATGAAATATTCCGTTATTAATTCTGAGTTCTAAATTTCTTTCTTAATAACGCTGACCTGCTAACAACAGTGCCATAAATTAACTGTTTTCTGCTTATGTAAATCTAGGTAGAATATTTCTCGTTTGCTCGATACGTGACACTGGGCCTATATTCCATGGTAGTCGAGTGTTTTGTGAATATTTATCTGTTCATATCTTATAAATTTTTATCCGTCTGTCGGTTTTTTTCTTCAATATGACGGTTCGCAGATGAACTTGACAGAAAAGAACAGATGCAGATCCGGTCTCTTCTGTTTCGAACACCAATTCTGTCGGGAAATTTTCTACCCCACTCTTCGTTTATGTTTGTATAACGTTTTCCGGTTTCTTTAATTGTTTTTGTTTCTTCCTCTAGCGATACCTAAAAGACGAACCTTGGCTGACTCAAAGTCTGTATCACGAAACCCCCACCAACGAGGAACAACAAATACTGGACAAGCTGGTGAACAGGTTTTGGCTAAGGCCAAAGTATTACGTCAACGACCCCTATGCACCGTATCACGTCCGCC